CCTCTTTCCCTTCCTCCCTTTCTTTTTTTGAACCAGGACCCAATCTAGGTTCACGCATAGCATATGGTTCTTTTTAGTCTACAATAGATCTCCCAACACATTTTTCATGGCTTGACTTCCTGAGAAATCAAAACCATTGTAATACACACTATTCTCATACTTAATTTACCTTATCACATCCTGTGGTGTCGTCTAACTATTTCCCCTATCCCATGTATTTCCTGTAGACTGGGAGTTAGGTCTTCAGGCTCCATTGGATCCCTGCCATCACAAGAATTCCTTGTGAGTAATACTGGGTACTTCACAGCACCTCACATCCACCACAACAGTCAGGCTATTCCACTAACGGGTCTCTGCTGGAGAAGTGTCCCCTTTATGATTCACAAGTCACCTTCAATTCACAGACAGGGAAGGGCAGAGTTTGTACAGATATTCCAGGCAGAGGGAAGAGCCTAAGCACAGTGGGAAGTACTGGACCTATGCAGGGGATGGGGAATGGCCTTTAATTAAGGAAGCATTTTAATCTAATCAAGCGTTGATTTATGAAGNTTGGTACAGTAAATGTTTGCTGAAAAAAATGATCCAGCCCAAAGTCATAGGGACAGATGGGGAAACTGAGGCCCAGAGAGGAGGCAGAATCCCCCCAGGTCATAGAGAACATCAGGGTGGAAAAGTGCCACAGGGAAGATGACTAGGCATGAGCAGGGGTGGGAGCAGCTCAGGACACAGAAAGAGGCCGGGTCTCCCTGCCTCCAGGCCCTCTACCTGTCCTTGCCTCCTTTGCACCAGATTCCGTCTCTGGCTCTGGCCCCCTGTGAACAACACAGCTACCAACCTTACCCAGCTAACTCAGTGCTTATCCTTAACTCCGCAGTGTCTCCTGCCGCCCTTGGGGCCTCAGTTCTTCATCTGTACAAGAAGGGAGTTGGGTTAGTCCACCAAGGAGGGAGCTTCACAGCTCTGACTCACCAGGACAACAGGGCCAGGCATGACCAGCCAGCAGCTCCCACCAAACTGGTGTGAATACCAGCAGGTGTTGGGTGCAGCACGGCGGTTGTTTTTTTGTTTGTTTTTAATACATCTTTATTGATTTCAGAGAGAGGAAGGGAGAGGGAGAGAGAGAGAGAAACATCAATGATGAGAGAGTCATTGATCGGCTGCCTAGCCTGCAACCTGGGTATGTGCCCTGTCCGGGAATCGAACCCTGATCGCCTAGATCCTAGGTCGATACTCAACTGCTGAGCCACGCCGGCGGGACTATATTCTTCCTATTTGACTTCAAAGCATGGCTGTACCTTTTTTTCAGCATGTAATTTTCAGTTAATATTACATTTCTCCAATTGTCCCCAAAATGTGTTTTATAATTTCTTCTCCGTCTTTCTTTTCCCTCCCTC